AAAGTTGGTAGCCTCCCGGGTTTCTAGGATTCAGATCTAGACAAAGAGCCAAGAGCAGATGCTACACTGATAGGAAGACTGAGTTCTGGACCACACCGTTGGAGGAGAGAAGAACATCCAGGGGCCAGATTAACTTCTAACTGTGAATATTACTAATTCAGAATGAGCGAGAGAAAATGTGTGCCTTGAATTGATCCACTCCAGCTGATCAGTGTACTGATTAGTGATGCAGTTCTCCAAGACTTCTGCATGCTGATTTGATGGAGAGGCTGCAGCAGAAGCCTTGAGTCTCTCCTAATAATCTGCTGTCCTGAACAGCATGTCTGAGGAGCTCATTGACTTTTACTCTAGTTATACTTCTCAGAAATGGAATGGTCCAACCAAGAAATCATTCTGTTCTAACTTCCACTCCTCAGTAAAGATACTTTCCCCCCAAAAAACAGACTAAGAGCACGGGCATCTGTAACAGGGAAACAGACGTGGTGAGAACTTCTCATCTGAGGCAAAATCCTCTAGGCATTAAAGGTTTTATATTCTTATTTTTTCTCACCTACAACTCTGCAAAACCCATGGATATAAATTAGGCATGCTTATGATTCTCAGACTTGGAAAATGGGTTATTAAATCACTTGTCCCCAAACCACTCCTAGCTAAGGAGCTATTGCATTATGTAGCTACAGGAGAGGGAGTGGACTGTGCTTCAGAGCAAGGCCACACACTGGAGAATATATAGGTGTCACAGACTGGAGTTAATGGATTAAAAAGAAAAAACAGCAGAGGATACATAGTTGTGTGTGTAGGGAAAAGGGTGGATCTAGGAGGAATCAGGAGAAGGAGTTAAAATGATCAAAACACGCTCTATGAAATTCTCAAAGAACTGCTTTTAAAAATGAAAGAAGACTAAAGAAAGGTGAGTCCTCTCCAGTTTTCTGATAGTGTAGTCTGACTGGTGAGGGAATTGGCTCTTTGCAAGTGTGTGAGTTCCTTATTGCTGAAGGGTCAAAATACACACTAACAGCCAAGGAAGAGCCAGGTACTATTCAGGTCAACACTATGTCCCTGCTCAGCACTGAGATGCAATACCCTTTATGCTGCCTTGATTTCCCTTCTCTCTACTTTGCCTGTCCTAATGCTGACCTATAAAGTCTACATAGAATAGAAAACGTGCTCCATCAAATAACATGAATTAATATAACCATATTTGAGAATCAATAGTAGGTGTATATCTTAGTGATTGGTGAACAATAGGTAGTCAAATTTCTTGTTTATCTCTACAAGAATAAAAGATCATATTACTCTTTCTTGTCTGGTTTCCACCAAATTTGACTATTACAAAAATTGGCAATTAACTTTCTTTCAATTCTTCAAATAACATCTCATTAAATGGTGGATGTAGGCTTCCAGTTTATAATCATCCAGCCCCAACTCCTGAATGCTAGGGTTATATGCATGTGCCCCCACCCATAGCCACAATTTTTTCTTTGTTTATTTTATGGCCATGTTTTTCTTGAGTTACTTAATGACCTGCACAATCTGTATCCTTGCTAAAGACTGGGATCAATGATTCTATTTTTATTTCTCATGGGTTTTAGACAAGGGTTGGGAACACATTAGGCAGCCAAAGAATACAGTGAGGGTAAACTTTGTAAAGCAGAGTTAATATACTATGGTTTTTAAGCCTACTAACTTTTAAACATGTTACCCCAATTTAAATTCACTTATGTAGCCTGGAAAAGTGTGACTCCTCAGTCTCCTTATTTAAAAAAAAGACTAGAACAAGTCTGTACCCTGCTTCCCTATACATTTATTATCTGTGATTGATGTCTTGTACAATATTACCTCTGCTACTTTCCCTTAAATTTACTCATTGAGCACTGACGCCTTGTCTACTATAAGACCTCACCATGCTATGTAGAATACCGATTCTTCTTTGCTCCTAAGACATGCTATAACCCATTCTGCCTTTCAGCTGCTGCTTGACTTGTTCACTCTTTGAAATGATGCAGTTTTTTTGTAGGCACCAAGTGAAATCCTGCCCATCCACAACTTTTCAGATAGCAACTCTTTCTGGCAGCTGCAGGCTTAAGTCACTGTGTATAACAGAGCTGCTCTCACCATCCTTAGATTGTGCTCTCTTGGGGTTGAAGGGCTCTATTTTAACTCTAGGTCCCCAACATCACTTACTTACAGCATTGAATCTTTTTAAAAAGAATAAATTTACTAATTTGCCCCATTCAGTTTATTTATATCATTAGCCAAAAGGGATTGGGTAGAATTGGATGAAATATTTATGGATGGATTGTTTGACCCCTTCTAGAGATATCTTTGGTAATAGACTCACTCCAGCCAGTTTGCCAGGTTTTTAAAACAAGGCCTCAGGAAAGTGTGCAAGCAAAAATCCCATCTTTTTCTATTTATCCCTTTAAAATGAAGTCCCAAAGCCACTGTCTATGTAAGCCATGACAACATACAATTTATGTAGATGTTTTACAAAAGCCCTACACAAGGAATTAGCTAGTTATACCTACAAAGCAAAATAAAAATATAGAACTCATAAATAAACTAGTTGAAGAGTTAAGACCACTGTTATGATGTACTTCTGTATCTGTTGAGATGCTGAACATTATCATTGAGATCTCCCTGCTCTTCAGCCTTGAGGTTTGGCTGACTCATTTTATCCTACTGAGAGGTAATATACTAAGACATTTTCCCCTTCTTTTCCAACTCACTGCCCCCAGCCCTCGCCTTCAGTCACCCATTGGCAGCCTCAGCAGTCCTACTGCAGGTAGCAGCATCCAGAGCTTCAGAGAGGGACTTATTCTGTGCTCTCCAAGGTCCCACTTGTCTTGCCTAAGGATCCTAAATGTTCCGTCTCCAGATCATCTCCATGCCTAGGCTTAGACATTTAGAACGGACCTTAGTAACCATACTCTTCTTCCTGCATGCCTGACTTCCAGGATCTTCCCTCAAAGTCTGTCTTTAGCAGTTCACAGGGCCTCTCAAAGCTCCCTTCCTGATAGGAGCCCCATTTCTCACTCTAAGGCACCATTACTGTCTGGACATGAGTCTGCAGGGCAGGGAAGCAGGGGCAGAAGGGGAACCTCATGCAGCCTATATCCTTGACACCAACCAGGGTTTGAAATACTTAAGAGATCTGTGATGCACAATTCCTGTTACACTTCATAGCTCTGATGTTACAAAATACACACTTAGTTCTAGAAATCATTTAAATATAAAACACAAGTCTTATATTGCCTTAAAGCTAGAGATTTTTTTCACTCCAAAGATTAATTGTCATATGGCTTGTAACTATGCATAAGGCTGGCATGGAGCAAGGGGCCAGTTTTGCATCTCTTAAGGCAAAGATAGCACACATGCAAAGAGGGCAGAGCCGGCATTTGTGAAAAACATCAAAGATATTAATTTATAGAAATGGTATCAGCCCAAAATGGTCATACCTATGAGGCAACACAAAAAATTCTTTTATCTTATCATTTTTCCAAGTCCATCAATTTATCTATTGCTATTTTAAAATGTAGGCCAAACTTCTATATAGAGAGCCATTAATCATTTCAGATACATTTTACTTTGTATTTCTTATTGTTCAAAATGAATATTTACAGCTAATCCTGATAAGATATACTTTTATCAGTTTATTTTTGTCTAAAGTAATAGTTTGAGTTCTGTTTAATGATGTGATAAAAATCTTGTGAATGTATAATTAAGCCAAATTAGAGGAAGGACAAACCCACACAAGTTGTAAAAAAAATGAATTTGACATAATCTACGTATTCTATACACAACTTAGCCAGTCATAACTGGTCACTCAATAAGACGATTAATCACTCAGTTGGAATGTGCTTCTGACATGCCTTCTCTCTTCTTAGCTGCAAAGTAAACTGGGATAATTTAGATGGAAGTGTTCAACTTGTGCTGTATTGACAAGTACAATACAGTCCATTCTTCTGTTGCTAAATGAAAGGATTTGATCAGAATCTAAGTTAAGAAGGATCTCTAAAATTATCTGGTCCAGATTCTTACTTCCTGTTGTAAGAAGGCTCAAGGAAGTACCTGTAGTTGACCAGGGATAGAGCTAGACTCCATCCAAAGAATTACTAACTTTAGGTCTATGACTTTTCTTTTTATGATATCACAGAATGTTTAAGCTAAATCTAATGCAAAGTGAGTTTCACCATTTGGATTCATTATAGCTTTCTGATGTTTCTCAAAAAATTTTTAGGGAAAACACCCTGATATTAGTAATGACTTTATATTAAGTTTTTAGAGAGAAATGTAGTTTGGCTAAACTTGTCAGTCAATATAGAAATAAAATTATGGCCCCTCTCACCAGCCTCACTATTTGTTCCATGGCCTTTCTTCCTCTCTCACTAAGTTGCTCTTTCATTTCTCAATGTGTCCATGGAGCAGTGGCCTTCCTCACTTCTTTATGGGATCAGAAGCTGAGGTGGTCTATGATATGCAGTGTACATGATTTCTCACTTTATTTGGTTGATTACTATCAGATATATACTATTCAATATTGCTAAAATACAAAGATTGGACAGATAAGAAACATATTATGAATGTTTATTGGAAGCTAGTGAACATGTATGACTATGGGTTGTGGGTTTAACCTTCACAGCTTAGGAGAAACTGGTGAGCCTTCAAAATTTTTACTTTTCTATAAGGAGCAGGGCAGATTCATCTATTATAATTTAGTTATAGTTAACAATTCTTTAAATAGGAAAGTAGCCACTTTAATAGCAATATGACTTCTAGAAACAACATGGAAACATTTATGCTTTGACTAAACTAATTTAGCAAAGGCAAAGAAACCAGACTCACATACTAATGAATTGCAAAGTTCCTGCTGGGTTTGTAATAATATTTTCAGTTATACATGACATAAAATAGTATAAAAAAACTATTTTTATACATTTTTACATTTGAGTCAACACGCATAAAATTACTACTCAAGAATTAAAAGTATATAAACTTACAGCCCTGATGCTTTCAAAATGTCCACCTTCTTTCTCAAAGTCAATAGGTTGTCCTTTTAGTGTCCAGTAGAAAGTGACATCCAAACTGGAGTCGTGGATGGCTTTGCAGTTGAGGACAATGCTCTCTCCAACAGTTAACTCTGTTCTTTTAGGAGTAAGCTCTATCCTTGTGGGTTCTACAGGGGTAAAAACAGATGCATTAGTATGATCACCTCCCCACATCTCACAACACCTTAAACTGTAGAGAAAGCTTAAACACGGACCATGCACAGAGGCTTCAAATACATGCACCAGATTTTTATTTGTTTCTTCAAGTATATCACCAAAAACTGAAATACTAGGGTTTTGGAAGCTATACCTCTTCCAAATTACTCTCTCAATGGAGCTAAACATATAATTCCACCACATTGAACTTGCTTTGTGCTGGACAAAACCCTCTATGAACTGGGAGGAGGCATAGAAGAGGGACTGTCTATCTAATAATGAAATATAATTTTTGATACTTTGTGGCTAGTTTAACTATATAAAACCTGTAAAGAGCTGAATGGTCATGGTTTTATTACAGCAAAAATATTCTGTTAACTGGTAACAACTGAATTTCAAAACTGACATTTTTAATATTATTTTATGGACTTAGAAGAACGTTGAACCAATAAAGTGGAATTGGCCATGCACTCATTGATTAAGGTTAAATGACTGTGATGTGATGTGGGCGTGATTAAAAGTAGAGAGGCGACAGAGACAGGTTTTTGTTTTCTCTTTCCTCATTGGAGTCCTTCGTGTAGACGGGGAAGAAAGACAGATATGGCAATGAGCTTCATTTTCGTCTAAACTCCATCATTTGCGAGAGGATCCTCCCAGAAGAAAACACTACTAGCTGTCTATGGTGTCTTTTCACACCTAACTAACAGCCTTCAGAGCAGTTCTGAGAATAACCCAAGCTGACGGCAAGAGTGACACTTTAAAGATGAACCCTCTTAAGGTTATATCATGTTTGGTAGCCTAAGTCAGGGCTTCGTGAGACAGCACAGATGAACAGTGTGCTGTAGCTGAAGGTTGGAGGACATGGTGTTTCCTGAGTAACCCAATTGTCATTTCATTCACGGTGAAGGAAGAACATCTGTCACTGACAAACAGTTTGTGGCTCCAATGCTACCTTATGGGAAGACGAGCATCCAGGGGACTAGGACCAAGGCTGGGTCCCTGGGTTGGATGCCAGTGATGTTTGATATACATGGAAATATTTGAAAAACTATATTCTGTTCTTCCCTTATGTTTGCCTTTTCTCTTATTGGAGTCTTGGCTATTTAAACTATGGTTTTATTTCTAAAGGTAGAGCAAGGTGAACCAAACCATATCTCTAGTCTGTGAGCATTAAATATAATACCAGTTGGGAGTCACACTAGCCACCTCCAAGACTTTTCTTCATTTTTTAAACATAAACTTTTTTCTATTTTTATAGGCAAAGGATGATTTTCTGTGTAATAGATATATAATGAAGAAGCAATTACTTTATAATTCAGTTGTTAAAAATACCATTTTGTTAATTGATGGGATTTTGTTACCTAAAATATGAGTTTAAAAAACTGTTTTAAAGATTTCATTTTGACATTTACTTCTGTGTGTGCATGTTAGTTAAATTGCCTATGGAGGCTAAAAGAGGGTGTCAGAGTTCCCAGAGATGGCATTAGCAGCCACGAGATGTGGCTTCTGGGAACTTTGCAAGACAACAGATGCTCATAACTGCTGATCTGTCTTTCCAGTCCCCACTTCCATTTTTAAAACAGATCAACTATTTAACACAATGTTGTGGACTTGAAATCTAGTTCATTTAGACCTAGGAAATTAGTAATCCTATAGACAGTAAGATCTACCTCACACAAAAATAAGGACATATAAAAACCTTGTAGTCACGGACATCTCTGAGAAGTTGTGGCACCAGGTGACCTGAGGTGCCTGCCTCCACTTTGTGAGATGTGTCCTCTTACAGCTACCCTCCCCTCCCCATTACCTGGTTAAAGTAACAGCAAATGGACAACCTTAGTTGGTGCTAGAATTGAGGAAATGTTTGAATATTGGAATGGTGAAGATTGAACTCAAGTTTCCAGGTATGTGAAGTGCTTGCTCTGCCATCGGGTTACCCCAGCCCAGATGCTGAAACACATTTTTATGATTTTAGCATTCTTTAAATTTTGTTACAGTGAATAAAAATTAATAAACATTTTTATTCTTTTATTAATTCTGTTCAAAGGAAGATACTGAAATGTCTATGAACAGTGGATTCCTTTCCTTTTGTTATTTGCTTGTTTATTTATATTTTCGAGACTGGTTTTCTCACTTTAGCATGTGTGCACACGTGTGTGTGCGTGCGTGCGTGTCCTGACTTGGTGCTGGGAATAGAACATGGATCCTCTGGAAGAACAGTAAATGCTATTAACTGCTGAACTATCTCCCTGCTGGCCATCCAACCAGACTTGTATAACTAAACAATTTCAGCCCAAATGCTGGGGTTACAGGCGGGAGCTACCATTCCTTGCTTTGTTTTAATTCTTTAAATGATGGAAATGAAAATTTGGTTGTGTTAGTTCTGAATTTTTAGCAAACTTTAAAACTAAGACATTCACATCAATCAATGCAAACACATGTATGTGTATCTTGCATTTATTTCCCCCCTGATGTTGAGGCTTGGAAGCCATGGCTGTGAAACATCCGGAATGTTACCTGTTATCTTACCTTTGACAGACAGGGAAGCTATAATCTCTGCGGAACCGAAGATGTTCTCCCCTTGGCAAATGTACTTTCCCTCATCTGCTTTAGAAGCATTTACGATCCGCAGGCTTCCGTCTGGAAGAATAGCTATTCTGAAAAGTATTAAAAAGGTTTGTTCCTGTTTCATTGCAAGATAAATGGAAAGAAATTCCAATGGAGTCCAAACCTCCTCTAAGGTGATAGATAATAAGAGGAAGGAGCTCTGTTGAAAATATAAAGTGGTAGATGCTTTCTCCTCTTCAGGATTTGATGCAATAAACCCACTTAATATCTTCTTTTATCCAAAAGATGAAGAAACTTGCAAGTTACTTCTCTTGTGATAGTTTCTGACAGCTAATTTTAGAAGTGGTGGAGGAAGGTGACCCCGAAGTTAGGTGTTATTGCTTGATGCTCTACTATCGCCCAGCCATATTTTATTACCAAGCTAAGGTACTTCACCTTATACCAAAAATGACCTCAAAAATCAAATAGAAAGAGAAACAGCATAAAAACACAGAGGAGGACAAGTACAGACATAAAATTAACTGTGCGCAGCTGAGAGGTGATTAGTGACTTTCCCAGCACCACGCAGGGTTGGCAGGCATGGAAATGTGGCCTGCTAACCAGGCTGCTCCCACTGCACTCTGAATTATAGGAATGCGATGCTCCAGTCTGCAAGTGGGCTCCTGCATGACCTTTGGTAAAAATGGACCTTCCGTTTTCTATAAATGTGAAAAATTAAGGCATTATTAAAAATTTTAGAAGTTCAGTGCAAATGAGGTTGACATTTGGAATTACCACAATCCCCTCTGTATTTATCATTCTGGGAATTTATGCACTTCAGACTTAATTAGCACTTCGGTCATTTTCTCCCTCTGCTGCTTGTGAAGTGTAACCCATTATTTCACCAGCACAGCAATCCACACAAGCCAATTGAAAGGCTGAAGCAAGCTTTGTGCTTTGGTGACACTGAATCTCAAACCCCAGAATTAAACTCAGGTTCCTGACAACAGGTTACTCCATGGTGACACCATACTTACCAGTGGAGATTAAAGAACAATGCCGAAATTTGGCTTAGCTGAGCTACTTCGTTTTATTTTAGGATGTATGTTCAGTATTGCTTATCACCCAGGGCTGACAGTTATTTAGAGCTTTGAACAGCATAGCAATTGATAAAAGATTCTAGGCTGCTTTAAAGGTACTGTTTGTAATGAACATTGCCATGAATAAAGATATCAGTTTAAAAATACCATATGGGTTTCACTATAGTTCAGTCTTGATTTGCAAGATATAAGATGGAAGATCAACTCAGAATCAAGACAGACTAAGAATAAAGAAGCTGATCTGCTACTTGAGATCTATGGAAAATACAGAGCCTGTAAAAGCCACATAGTCTGTGGTTGGAGTGATGGCAGTTAAAAGCACTTGTTGCCATACAGAGGACCTGAGTTCAGTTCCTAGCTCCTGTGTCAGGGACATCACTACTGCTTGTAACTCTAGCTGCAGGGGAAATGAAATCCTTTTCTGGCCTCCATGGCTACACACACACACACACACACACACACACACACACACACACACACACTCACACACTCACACACTCACACTTGCAGATATACACATAATTAAAAATGAAATAAATGTTTTATTAAAATTTACATAAACTGGGTTGTAGTGCATGTCTTTAATGCCTGCACTTGGGAGGCAGAGGCAGGTGGATCTTTGTGAGTTCAAGGCCAGCCCACCTACAGAGGCAGTTCCAGGGCATGCAGAGCTACACAGAGAAACCCTGACATAAAAAAAAAAAAAACAAACAACAAAAGTTACATAATCCCTCAATATGGACAACCTAAAGTTCTGTTTATTATTTGGGAAGTGCTCATTTATTATCAAACAAGGAGATGGTGAGCTTATTCCAGTTCATCTCTATTAGACATATAATACAAATCACATATTTGAAAGCAAAAAACATACTTTGTATACAAAATTCTGTATTTCTTGAACAAATTATAGACTGTTGAAATTTTTCTAAATTACTATAATTTTCACAGATTGTTAATACATTGAGCATATTTAAATTTTACCAACTTGAATAAAGCTTAATATAACAGGAGAGAAGTTTGACTTCAAAGTTCATCTGTTTTAAAGAAATAACGGTATCTTAGCTACTGGTAGTATTTCAGCTCTTGATTGAAGAGGAATACAATCTCAGATCTCACAGATAACAGATATCCTAGTTTCTCTCTGTTGTGATAAATTACCCTGACAAAAAGCAAGTTATGGGAAAATGTTTATTTCAGTTCACAATTCTAGGTCCCAGTCCATCCCAGGAGGGAAGTCAAGGCAGGAACTCAAAACAGGTAGCTGTATCCATACTCAGGAGCAGTGAGAGGATGAGTGCATGCATGCTTCTTAGTACTCAGCTTGTTTTCAAGACTTACCCAGTCCAGGCTCACCTGCATAGGCAACGGAGCTGCTCAATGGGTCTTTCTACACAAATTAACATAATCAAACAACCTCCACAGACATGTCCACAGGCTAACCTGATCTGGACAATTATTTACTGAAACTGTTTTCCTAGGTGATGCTAGATTATGTCAAGTTGACATTTAAAATCAACCATTGTATTAAGTAGCAGATCTTTCTTTTAAAAGATGGTATATAAACATGCCTGTACCACTAGTCTACTAGTGAGGATGAAGATTTTGAATACTATAATATTCATCCATTAAATAGAAGTGTCATTTAAAATCTTATCTTCTGATTTAAAATGTAAATCTTCACCTTTTATTTTTAACTTGGAAAAGACAAAGCAGGTAATGAATGAGATTTACATCACAATGTCTGGCTACCACACACATATTACTTAGATATTAAAGACTAAATTAATATTTCCAGCCTCATTATCTTCTCCCCTCTGCTGTTACTATTTGACTGCTACATTTTTGGATTGGGGATTAATTCTGTTGAAGTGATCCTTGAACTTGGAACTAGATAGTAAAGGCATGGGGAGGAGGAAGTTTGTAGGGGGTGGGAAGTGATTTAAGAAATGCAAACCAGCATATTACTTGATATGAACCTCTACAAGCTCTGATCTCTAGAGTCTGTGGGTTGCTTTGTTCTCACCAACAACTAGTGACTGGATCTGCCTTGCCAACCTGTCCATTGTCCTAGTCTTTCAGCAAGGTCACTGGCTCACAGGTGTTATTGTTAGCAATGTGATGTGTATGTTTACTTACAAACATCATGGCCAACTTCATTTCCATCTTGGGTCTCCTGTTGTACACCCTCAGTTAGCGTAGACCTTTTCAAATAGACTGCTTGTCTAAGAATACCATTTATTTTGATGCTGCCATAGTGTTTAGTGATTGTGTCAATCACTTTCTGTTGTAATGGCAGAGGAACTGAGAAAACCAATCGAAAAGGAGGAGAGGCTTAAGATGGCTCATTGTCAGAGGTTTTCCTCCACGGTCAGCTGGCCCCATCGCTTTGAGCCTGAGGAAAGGCAGAACATCATGGAGGTGTATGTGACATAGAAAACCTGCTCACCTCATAGCATCCAGCAAGCAGAGAGGAGAGGAGCGCTTAGGGACAAGATATGCCCTTGCAGAGCACACCCTGCGTGACCTGCTTCCTCAAACCTATGCACTGCCTCTGACTTTCCCATATGCCTAATACATACTGTACAAATACAACTATTAAGTAGGAAATGCATCACTCTAGTCTCCTGCTACCATTTCTCCTTCCATCCCATTTCTTGGAACAAGAGAACAGACTGCTGAGGTTCTTAGGGGCCAGTTTCCTAAGGCAAAGCATAGAAGGGAAATATTGGGTTATTGTGTATTATGATTACATAGAAAAACATATCCATAGAGAGAGTAGGGGGGGCATGTGGTCAAGTATACCACCATATGCACAGATGGTAAAATGCAATCCTGTGACTTGGAATTTTAGAGTAGAAATGTAACTAGGCTAGTCAAACCTCATTTTACAGATTAAGAAATTACAAGCCAAAAAATAAAAATGTGTTTGAGCCCAATCAGTTACTAAAAGAATAAAAAGTTATCAATAATTCCTGTGCTCTGTTCAAGAGAAAGTACTTGTGACAGTTTTTTTCTCAATAACATATAATAGCAAACTTGAAAGCAAAAATACCTTTGATTACTCTTTTCCTTCCTTAGAAACTGAAGGATGGATGGTTTAGGAGGATTTGTTGTTTAAAATGTCCCAAATGTTCAGGGAAGTCCAGGTATGACAGGATAGGATCTTATCTGCATGCTTCGATTGTTTTCCAAGAACATTCCTGTTTGGAGCAGAATTAATGGCTATCCATGTTGCTGTCTCCTTGCCAGCTTTTAGTTGGCTGCTGATCTTCCATTCCAGAAGCTTCTTGAGTTTCTTGACTTTCCCGCAGATTATATTACATATTACAGCAGAGAGCATATCATTTCTTAGAAGTTTTCATGATTTATTAGTAATATAAGCTTTCAAGCCAAAAAGCATTGGGTTCAATTTGCTGCCATATACATATATCTCCCATGTATGATTTCAAGTAGCTACTTAATCTTGTTAACTATAATACTGGCATAATAAAACCCAACTAGTTCTTCCGAAGTGTTAGCTAGATAATATATGTAACTTATTATTCTTCATTTGAGTTCAGTTTGGGAGAAGAGAGGAGGAGTAGTCACCAAGGTTTTGAGGTCAGAAGGACCATGAAGTCTTGAAGAAACAAATGGCTAGTTTCAAGATGGTGGTAAAGGGGACATGGAAAGACCCACGATGGGGGTAGATGAGGCAGAAAATCATATAGAGCTTGGTATAGTGTGAACACAACCTGGTTCCACAAAACACCACAGAACTGTCAACTGTTTCAACAGCTTTATTGGGTTATTAAAGGCATACCAGAAGCTTGTATATTTAACACATATTGGGGAATTCTTATGTGTAAATAGAAGGCCATGTAAGCGGTATTATGATTAGAGAGTAAACGCATGTATCACCCTGAAGACTCACTCATTGCACTCCTCTCAATGTCGCTTCCATCTCCTTTCTATCCCATCCTATACCAGACACTTGCTTATTTGCCTTCTCCCACTGTATTTTGAATTTT